TACAAAATAAAAAATTAAATAACAAATAATCTTTGAAATTTATAAATAGGGGATCATATTTTTCACTCAAAGACTTACATTATTATTCTGTCTCATTTTTACCATACACTTAGGTCACGGAGGACGGAATTTCATGTTTTCCTTCAAGTGGCAATGTTGGACAATTAAGAGGAAAAATTACGAAGTAAATAAAAATATTATCATATGGCTTTAATGAAATCAATTGTATCTTATACAATACAAAATTTTGATAATTTCATTTTTTCACTAGGGTTGTTGTAACTTAGTGGTACTTAGGCTAATTAGGCTATTATAGAAGTTTTTAATTACAAAAGTTATCCTTATAATTTTTCTTTCATAGAGCACGTGTATCAGTTCCATAATACACGCATCATTCAAGTCAGGAGTGCAATTTGAAAGTAAGACCTCAAGAACTTACCTCCCGAATCCCTACCAATATTGCTTTACCCTTGGGGCTATCTTTATAATTAACACTCTACATTCCCTTCTCTCCTAATAAACAAAATAAAGCATGATTTCATTCTCTTCGCTTCTATCCAATCAAGCAAAAGAGGTCGAACTGTCAAACACAATTTCTTTCATAGGGATGTCACATTGATATCTTCTTCTCTTCCATCGAGTCAATTTTCTTCTTTCCTTCCAAACACAGCATTAGAGTAAACTAGTTAATGAAGCCCAATAGGTTGCATTATTTCTTTATTAAAAAAACAGAAGAAAGAAAGAGACCATCATGTAGAAATCATAAAAATATATGCGGTGTTATATTTTAGTCAATTTGTAGTGGAGCCTTTTTTCTTGTGTTTCAATAGCCAATTTTAATTGGAATCAAGCTACTCTAAACGAGAAGAGTACCGTAAAGAAGAAACTCAAAAAAATATTAGCCCACTGATTTATTGATATGAAACTATGTTGACACCATTGAACTGAACTCAAAACGCCTCTAAGGATATAGCGGTGTTGAAGTTTCGCTTTCGAACCGCACTTGATACATCTATTCTAAAAAAAAAATAAAAAAATTCAAAACCAAATACAAAAATTATTACATGATCTAAGTTAATTACAACTCGACACACAAGCAAATGTATCCGCGTTATCCGGAATTTATAACATTGAACATCAAGACCAAATACATATAGTTCCATCATCATCAGTAGAGGCTAGAGGCCTTCCCAAGCCACTCCATGAACAAGCAAGAACAGGAGCACCATGTTCTTTCACAGTACTCACCATTCTACCCATCTTCAATGACCACACATAAATGGATCCATCTGCAGACCCTACAACAACAAAATTCTCATCAGGACTAACACAACTCCGACTCCAATTCGAAGCCACTTTGTTGCCCTTAATCTTAAACTTCCCACAAACTTGCATTGTCCTCACATCAACCAGATTGTGCAAATTGTCTCTTCCACTGCTCAACACAACGTTCCCACATCGAAATGGACAAATTGAAGTCACCGGTTGTGTGTGAAGCGCGATATGGCTGTCACAGTACCTCATGGAGTACCTTTCAGTTTTGCTGAATCTGATTCTTCCGTCGGAATGACCAGAGCAAAATTTGTTTTCATCCATGGTAAAACAAATGGCATTACAAGGACTACTAATATATGTTGAACATATAGGATGGTCTTCTTGGAGGTCCCAAAACATTATAGTATGGTCATTGTCACCACTGATTATGTATCGGTTAGATACCTCGTCAATGTCCACAGCACAAATATTATTAATTATTATCATTATAATATTATGAAGAAAATAAAACAATTTAATTCGCAAAACTAGAATAGCTTGGATCTTGGACTTTAAATGGGCTTTAAATTTGAATAAGAAATTTGAAACTAGAATTGTAGGGCTTAAACCCAATAAAGGGAGCCCTTCCAGAAATTCTCAATAGCCTGGGCCAAACCCAGGCCAAAGAGGGGGTTTGGAAATAGTTTTCAACCAGCAATTGACGCGCCTCGGTTAGTACCTCACTAGCTGCGTCATTGCCCCAAGCGCAAAGATACATATTCCAAAGCCCAACCTCTGCTTTTATATTACAAGTCTCCTATCCCACTTTTTACAACTTTCCGATGTGGGATGCATAACTACCATTACCACTTAACTCTACAAAACCACAATATATATTTATGCATATATATATATAGATGTATGCAAGGTCACTTTTTCCATTAATATTGCATTCAGTGAACATCACCCTGTTATGATTTAACTCATGGAGACAACACATTCTGTGAATATGGACTTGAGTTTCAGAATTAGTCACCTAGTATAAAAATTAGTCACCTAGTATAAAACTATAAAAGTATAAGGGGTTTTCAAGACGAGTGATAAATTCGACTGTTCTGAGTTTGATTCTTAGTAAACACAAAAACACATAGATTCAGACGATAAGTATGATTTGCAAGTAATTGCATGTATTCAAAATTTACCTTGCATTCATGAGTTTAAAGGGATGACGGTTTGAAGGGTAAGATGCCCAAACAGAAATCCAAAAAAAATAAATAAAAACTACTCCATATAAAAGAATGTCAAGGGTTTTGGTATAAGTGCGTCCTTTTATGTAATGATAATTCAACAGTTATTATCAATTAATATTTTGTTTTCTACAAGATCGGTTGAACACTGAGTAGAATATTTTTTGTCTAGTGGCTACTCAACTTCTTCTATTATTATCATTAATTTTGTAACTGTGAGATAAATTTTGTACAACTATTTCATGAAATGTACTTCAAATGATTTAAATTTTAAACCGTGTCTAAACTCTACATATATTATAGGTGTCAAGGGATTTTATCATTAGTCATAGTCTTAAAATATTCGAGAATTATTATTATTATTTTTTTTTTTTTTTTGAGCTATTTGAGCTAAATATATTTATATGTTATCATCAAAATGTTTGTATTTCCGTTGGTTAAAACTTTTAGGTTAACATCGCCTTGTTTCAAGTCTATAAGATTGGTAAGTTCGTAACCATGTACAAGCATTGTTGTTTACTAGGTGTGCACAAAAAACGATGCAACATAAATTGTAATCAACTCAAAATGATAGGTTATTTTCGATTTTTTCATGATTTGGTTCGGTTCCGGCTTCCTAAATATCGAATCGCTTATAAACGATTCGGTTAGGATTTAAAGTTCTATGAGATCAAATTGAACCGTTTTATAAATTGTACAAATATTTATATATTTTGTATTTTATAAATAAAAATAATAATAAGATTAACTTTTTAACTACTCGATTATATAACATGATGTATAGTAAAAATATATATTATAATAGAAAATTATATTATATTATATATACTATTTTTTTATCATATATATATATATATATATATATATATATATATATATATATATATATATTAGATTAAATTATAAAAAGTCTAGAATTATGGTTCGGTTCGGTTCTATTGGTTTCACGATTCAGTTCGATTTGGTTATAATTTTAATGAAATCATTAGGAATGGATTAATTTCAAAATATTTCTAAACCAGTCGAATTCAAAATGTGCACACTCCTATTGTTTAATTCTACATTATAGCCTCCAATGTTAATAATTTCTACGCTGACGGGAATAAGAATGTTCAATATACGTCACCAGCATTTAATTAAACATATTTGGAAAATTATAAGAATCAAATCTTTTTATTATTATTATTATACGGTATAGTGAAGATTACTAGACTAAATTTATACCTATACTCAGGGGATCAGAATGTTAAATATACGAAATCAACATTTAATAAAACATATCCGTGAAATGATTGAAATTAAAAATATAAAGATCAATTTTTATCATTTACAAAATAAAAAATTAAATAACAAATAATCTTTGAAATTTATAAATAGGGGATCATATTTTTCACTCAAAGACTTACATTATTATTCTGTCTCATTTTTACCATACACTTAGGTCACGGAGGCGGAATTTCATGTTTTCCTTCAAGTGGCAATGTTGGACAATTAAGAGGAAAAATTACGAAGTAAATAAAAATATTATCATATGGCTTTAATGAAATCAATTGTATCTTATACAATACAAAATTTTGATAATTTCATTTTTTCACTAGGGTTGTTGTAACTTAGTGGTACTTAGGCTAATTAGGCTATTATAGAAGTTTTTAATTACAAAAGTTATCCTTATAATTTTTCTTTCATAGAGCACGTGTATCAGTTCCATAATACACGCATCATTCAAGTCAGGAGTGCAATTTGAAAGTAAGACTTCAAGAACTTACCTCCCGAATCCCTACCAATATTGCTTTGCCCCTGGGGCTATCCTTATAATTAACACTCTACATTCCCTTCTCTCCTAATAAACAAAATAAAGCATGATTTCATTCTCTTCGCTTCTATCCAATCAAGCAAAAGAGGTCGAACTGTCAAACATAATTTCTTTCATAGGGATGTCACATTGATATCTTCTTCTCTTCCATCGAGTCAATTTTCTTCTTTCCTTCCAAACACAGCATTAGAGTAAACTAGTTAATGAAGCCCAATAGGTTGCATTATTTCTTTATTAAAAAAACAGAAGAAAGAAAGAGACCATCATGTAGAAATCATAAAAATATATGCGGTGTTATATTTTAGTCAATTTGTAGTGCAGCCTTTTTTCTTGTGTTTCAATAGCCAATTTTAATTGGAATCAAGCTACTCTAAACGAGAAGAGTACCGTAAAGAAGAAACTCAAAAAAATATTAGCCCACTGATTTATTGATATGAAACTATGTTGACACCATTGAACTGAACTCAAAACTCCTCTAAGGATGTAGCGGTGTTGATAGTAATTCAGAAAATAAGTCTTTAAAGTTTCGCTTTCGAACCGCACTTGATACATATACTCTAAAAAAAAAAAAAAAAAAAAAAAAAAATTCAAAACCAAATACAAAAATTATTACATGATCTAAGTTAATTACAACTCGACACACAAGCAAATGTATCCGCGTTATCCGGAATTTATAACATTGAACATCAAGACCAAATACATATAGTTCCATCATCATCAGTAGAGGCTAGAGGCCTTCCCAAGCCACTCCATGAACAAGCAAGAACAGGAGCACCATGTTCTTTCACAGTACTCACCATTCTACCCATCTTCAATGACCACACATAAATCGATCCATCTGCAGACCCTACAACAACAAAATTCTCATCAGGACTAACACAACTCCGACTCCAATTCGAAGCCACTTTGTTGCCCTTAATCTTAAACTTCCCACAAACTTGCATTGTCCTCACATCAACCAGATTGTGCAAATTGTCTCTTCCACTGCTCAACACAACGTTCCCACATCGAAATGGACAAATTGAAGTCACCGGTTGTGTGTGAAGCGCGATTTCTCTGTCACACAGCATGACGTACCTTTCAGTGTTGCTGAATCTGATTCTTCCGTCGGAATGACCAGAGCAAAATTTGTTTTCATTCGTGGTAAAACAAATGGCATTACAAGGACTGCTTATGTACATTGAACATATAGGATAGTCTTTTTGGAGGTCCCAAAACGTTATAGTATGGTCATTGTCACCACTGATTATGTATCGGCTACAAACCTTGTCAATGTCCACAGCACAAACCTTTTGTCTGTGCCTGGAAACTAGAGTTCGACAAATCTGACCAGAATTCACATCCCAAACACACAGATTTCGCGACGTGAGGGCTGCAACAAGCAGGGTGTCATCTGAGCTGATGGCAAGATCATAGACTGAGCCTCGGAAGCCTTGTAGAGTGCGAGTTAGTGTCCCATTGCTTGTGTCCCAGAGTTTTATGGTGCTGTCTTTTCCTCCGCTGATCAAAGTGTGTGAGTTGTTGAGAAATGAGATGGAGCTGCATCTGCCTTCGTGAGCTTTGATTTTGTGCTGGACCAAGTTGGGGATCAATGATTCGGATGAGATTAAAGCACTCGTTTCACCTGTGTCATGTTGTCCCACGTCGTTTGAGAGGAGAGGTTCATGGCGCTGATAAGGGATACCTCCTGCCTGTTTAGACACATTTTCAAAACCGTGAACATGAGGGTCCAAAGCGTGTGAATTGTTGAGGAATGAGATGGGGCTGCATCCGCCTTCGTGAGCTTTGATTTTGTGCTGGACCGAGTTGGGGATCAATGATTCAAATGATATTAAAGCATTCGTTTCACCTATGTGATGTTGTCCCACATCGTTTGAAGGGAGGAGTTTTTGGCACCATGTGCAGACAAGTTTTGAAAACCGTAAACATGAGGAGGGTCCAAACCGAACAATATGGTCTTTATCTTTTTTCTTGGTGGGGAAGACAAATTGTTGGCTTCCTCTTCTTCAACTTCTTCCATGTTACTGTCTTCCATGGTATTTGTTTGAAGCCTGCAAGTATGATGAACAATAAAAGAGAGGGAAAAAAAAAAAACAGCAAGACAAGAACACATCAAATTTTGAATTATGGAAACATGAAATTGTCATTATATACTATTGAAATTATTCTTACCTACCCAAAACAAAAGAAAAACTGAAAAAGCACAAGCAATTGATTTAGCCGGAATAGAACAAAAGTTTGAAATGACACAAGATATAGAGGTTGGTATACTTGGCCACCAAGTATATATTGCAAAGTTGTCACCTATTTTATTGATGTCAAGTTGTCATACCAATAATTAAATAATGAACCAACTAATCTAAGTCACATGTATCATATAGTCAACTACTTTGTAACTTAAATATAAATACAATCAATCTTATAAAAATATAATCACCTTGCTGGCCAAGATTTCCCACCTTGTAGGACACCATGTCCGTGTGCCCCAATCCGAGCGTCCGATCGTAGGACACGTGTCCAATATGCCTTCAAACTTTGAGATTAATGTTTAGCTGAAGGATTCTGCTATTAAGAGTTGAATCCCACTAAGAAGAAGAATTTTTTATTATTTTTTTTTAAATGTCTTTTTTCCCTCCAACTAATGGAACAATCTTAATTAACCACGTGATTCAATCCTAAACTTCACATGACCTTTGAAATGACTTATAGGACTCATCTTGCTTAATTAGAACATCTCCAGCATTATGTTAAAATATTATTTTGTGTAAAATATATATTGTCAAGTATGATGTGTAAATATTTTTTTATCTCCAGCAATCTGTTAAGATACACTGTCACGTCACCAATATGTAAACTTATTATATATACACAACCTTTTTACACAGCTATATTAGCATAATTCTTTTCTCCTCCCTCTTTTTCATTCCATTAACAAATCAATCATAGTTGTTAAAGGCGCGCCTAGGCTCCAAAAAAGCCCTAGGCTTGTCAAGGCCCAGCTAGAACGCCTCAACCTATTATAGGCCAAACCCTTTCAATTAGGTTCACATAAAGCCCTCGGGCTCACGTTTTTTAGTAGACTCCAGGCTCAAAAAAGGTGCGCCTTGTATTTTTTAATCATTTATTTATATTATTTTCCTTTTTACTTATTGACTACTAAATTAAAACGTTTTCTATATCATATACCGTATTATTTAACCTTATGAAATATTTGACAAAATTCATAAATTTATGATTCACTACTTACATTAACTACAATTACAGTTTAATTATGATTATAGATAATAATATATGCATTATTATATACACGCGCCTTACTTCGATTTGGCTCGCGCCTTATACCACGCCTTGCGCTTAGGCTCCAAGAGGCCTTTGGAGCTTTAGTACGCCTTGAGCCTTTAACAACTATAGAATTAATCCAATATTAAGTATGTTTGTAAAAATTATGTGAGGTCATGTTATTGGGGGATATAAAATGCTGGAACTAAAAATAAATAATTCAAATATACACAACGGGTGGAGATGGCCTTTAACGAATCAATCCTACATTAAGTAGGTCTGTAAAATTTGTTAACATAGGGTCCGACAAGACATTGGTTGCTTTATATACAAAATATATATATATAATATAACACAACTGTTAGGAGGAGTTCTTGTCATAAAAAATGTCTCTCAAAGGTGATCACTTTTTTCACCTTTCATACATTCAAATAAATACAAAATTCAAGAAACATAAATTAGGTCCAGTTATCTTCGACTTAGATTCACCTTGACAAGAGTTCTTTTTTGGTGATCTTGGGCAGAGGGATTTAAACCATTGCCCAATTTAACAACTTGGGCTTAACAATAAATTTTAAAACTAGAATTGTAGGGCTTAATCCCAATAAAGGGAACCCTTCCAGAAATTCTCAATAACTTGGGCCAAGCCCAGGCCAAAGAGGGGGTTTGGAAATAGTTTTCAACCAGCAATTGACGCGCCTCGGTTAGTACCTCACTAACTGCGTCATTGCCCAAGCGCAAAGATAATTGTTCCCAGACCCACCCTCTGCTTTTGTATTACAACTCTCCTATCCCACTTTTCACAACTTTCCGATGTGGGATGCATGACTAGCATTACCGCAATGTGTGTGTGATATATGCAAGTTCACTTCTTCCATTAATATTGCATTCATTCAACATCACCTTGTTCTGATTTAATTCATGGAGACAACACATGGTTTGAGTATGGACTTTAGTGTCAGAATTAGTCACTTTGTATAAAACTATAAAAATATAAAGGGTTTTCGGGACCAGTGTTTGATTCTTAATAAATACAAAAATATATGAATTCAGATGATGAGTGTGATTTGCAAGTAATTGCATATATTCGAAATTTACCTTGCATTCGTGGTTTGGGAGTGATTGCATGTATTTGCAGTGGTCAATTGCCCAAACAAAAACCCAAAAAAAAATAATAATAATTAAATAAAATAATAAAAAAAATCTACTACTACTCCGTATAAAAGTATGTCGAAGGGTTTTGGTATAAGTGCGTCCTTTTTAATTCTAGATTATAGCCTCCAATGTTAATAATTTCTACGCTCGGGAGGAATAAGAATGTGCAATATACGTCACCAACATTTAATTAAACATATTTCAAAAATTATAAGAATCAAATCTTTTTATTATTATTATTATACGTATAATGACAATTACTAGACTAAATTTATACCTATACTCACGGGGATCAGAATGTTAAATATACGAAATCAACGTTCAATAAAACATATCCGCAAAGTGATTGAAATTAAAAATATAAAGATCAATTTTTCTCATTTACAAAATAAAAAATTAAATAACAAATAATCTTTGTAATTTATAGGGGATCATATTTTTCACTCAAAGACTTATATTATTCTTCAGTCTCATTTTTACCATGCACTAATAATTCAAGAAAAAATAAATAAATAAAAAATATTACAAAAAAAGTTGAAACACAGTTTAGAAAATTAGGTCACTCCAAAACCATTCAATATGTGTTTACTTTGCAGGACAAGTAGGCCTCATTTGAATCCAATAATGAGAGATATTTTCATGGAAAGAGAGAGAGGTAACACCTAATTTGATTCCATTCAGTGAATCGTGCATGAAGTGCCACACAAAAAAAAATGAAAAAGTAAATTAATAAAATTGTGATATTGAAGTAAAAATAAAATAAATAAAAAATCTCTATACTTACCTCTTCCAGGATCATACCAAATAAATTTACATGCAGAAGAAATAGCTTATACAATCGTATAATTAAAGGATTATCAAATCTGCTCCAACAGGAAGTTTGATTCCAAGCTTCTTGGCACGCTTTCTCGCTATTGTTTTCCTCTTTTGCTTCATGAACTCCAATGGAGTTCCTATAAGAAATCGATTGAGAGGATCAAAAGTAATCTTCTCAAGATTCACAGCACTCTTAATTAAATACATGGCAAGCTCAACATCATTTGTACGCCCAACAAAACCAATTAGTTCCACCACCTTAAGGTAATGATGGGGCCGAGACGTAAACTTCTGATGTTTTCTTTTCCGAAGTGGCTTGAACCAATGCAGCTGTAACAAGGAGGAATGGAGTCATATGGGGGGCAGACTATTAGAATACAAAACCAAATTACCATCATAATTGTTCAAGTTAAAATCACAAAATTGCTAGAATCAATGGAATAGCCACCACGGGCTCCAAAGAAATCGAACGCCATGCTGTTGTTATACATATGACTGAAGACCATTAGCATACAAAGCCAAATTACCAAGCATCAAATCATAACTGTTCAAGTTAGAATCACAACATTGGCAGACTTGATGGAATAACCACCAAAGGCAACACATTAGACATAAGAAAACACTGCATTATAAATGAATTCACTCCGTTCTGAAAAGCAACAAGACTAAATCTAACTGAATAAGGTCAGAGACCTCAAGAGGTCCAACTCCGGGAGGAGTTCTTGAACCATCATGAAAATAAAGCAATCTAAGAACGTGCAACGTATTAAAAGACCATGTAAAACTCTCAAGGCAGTAAATATTAACCAACACGGGAACAACAGAATGATAAATATTCATTTAGAAAATACTTGAACAATCAGAAGAAAAAAGCATGCTAAACACTTAATGCAACAACCACCACAGGTGAAAATTGACACTGTTCTGAAAAGCAATAAGACTAAATCTAACCAAATAAGGGAAGAGACCTCAAGAGGCCTAACTCTGGGAGGAGTTCTTGAACAATCATGAAAATAAAGCAATCTAAGAACATGTAACATATTAAAAGACCATGTAAAACACTAAGGCAGTAAACGGGAACAACATAATGATAAATATTCATTTAAAAAATACTTGAACAATCAGAAGAATAGAGCACGCTAAACACTATAAGAGCATTTTTCCTATTACTGGTAATATTGTAATTTTGTAATAGCTATAAAGAGCAATTACGAAAGCAACTCCAGAAGCCAAATGAATCAAAATTTCCGTTTGAAAATTCAATTACGAAGGCAATAAAACTCACAGTTCAGAAATGCATGTTGTAAAGTAAAACTTATTACCTCCAACACAAATTTAGACAAGAAAGGGCATGCCTCTATCAGGAGAGTAAAATCCATAAGGCTTTCATCATCGCTTGCATTAATTATCACCTCCAGTCGCTTGAGTTTATTAAATACAAAAATTTAGTATCTTGAAGATCAATCTGAATAAACCAAAGAAAAAGTAAATCAGCACAGATTGATAATTATGTTAAAAAAACAAAAGAATAAAATAAAAATGAAGGGGAGGAGATCAAATGAATCATTTAAACTTCCTAACCTCCCACATACAGATAATCTCCAGTGCAAGGCTCTCTAGCTGAGAAAGATAGCTTGAAATATCCAAAAACTTATATATTAGATAAGTGCAATATTCACCCCCGATATACAAATCCACAGGAGACTCGACATTTTTAAATGGCAAGCGTATTTTTGGTCCGAAGTACTTAAATGACACAAGATTCGTTGCAGAAATCTCAATACTTTCCACATTGAAGCAGAAAGTTATCTCCAAACGCTTCAATTTGAGTGCTAGATCAGGAACTTTCAGATTTACGAGAGCGTCAGATTCTTTCACATACAATTGTTCCAGATTTGGAAAGTTAGTTATGAAGTACTCGAGATCCTGTCCAGTTACATTGACGTGTGTCAAGAGGAGATTGGTCAGGGAGTTGCAGCTAGTAAACCCAAGAGACAATGAATGCAAGTGATTTGCAATACCATCCGGGTCAGGAAAATTGTAATCCTCTTCCTCTCTACTATAGTCGGTTAATTCTGCCAAGTCTAACTCAAGCCTTTTAACTCTCTTCTCCATTGCAAAGTTAACCCAATTGTCAATATCAAGTCTAGAACTTTCCCCCAAATCAAATCGAACTCTGAATTCATCTATAGTTGGAGCGTTGTGGGATTTCAAGACTTGAGTAACCCAACTCAAATACAATGGCCTTTCTACTTCAACTTCCTTTTGTCGCTCATAGATTCCTTCGATTAAATGTGAGGAGGGATCAAAGGTCAAACGAGTAAAGTGTGTACCTCCATCTATTTGATAGGAGACTAGTTCTTGCAGATTCTTTCATGGTCAATACTGACAAGATTGAAACAAGTACAACATCAGGAAGTTCACTAATGCGATCCTCCAAACACAACCCTCCTTTATCGACCTTCTCACTATTGCAATTAAAGATAAAATAAATAATAATAATAATAATAATAATTAAGAAAGTGTGATAACAGAAACACCACAGTACTGCTGAATTTTTGTAACAAACAAACCAATAAATAGAGATATATAATAAATCCATACATAAGTAAAAAGATGATGGTACCTTGCGTTTTCAACACAACACATTGAGGTGGGTCCAACGGTTTTCTCCATGGAAATTGATTATACAGTTTTTTTTTTTGTATAATTAAAAAAATTAGTCTGCAGATCCAAGAGATAGCAAGAGGAGAAGATGGACAGATTAGAGATATAAAAAACAAACAAGAGAGAAAAAGATGAGCAATTTTGATATTGGTTTAAGGCAACTTGATATTTGGAAAAGTACTTGCGGTCCAATTATTTTCCGGTATTTCTAGTGAAAAATAGAAAAAGAAAATACAATAATCACCGGCATTGCTGCAGGCATATTTGAAAAGAAAAAAAAATGATATTTAAGTCCATTAGTTTCACACCAATATAAAAGAAATCCGATGAGAATAGATCACGAAATCCGATCTTTGTCTCTGACAAGAGCAAAAAAGAAAATTTACAGAAGAGATTTTCATTTTTCATAATGAAATCAAAACTTACAGATCTTGTAAGTGTTGCGCCTTCAGATCCTTGAGAGAGAGACGGGGAATTGGGAGTTGTATAGCATGCGGATGGCGGCTCTGCACGGGAACATGTGGTGGAACTGAACACGCCGCTATATGTCTTAGGTTTAGCAAACCAACGGTTGAGATGTTTTACCATCTAATTTCAACAGTTGAGATACAAATTTTTTTTAAACAATTTTTTTTTTTTTTATGTAAAATGTTTTCTTTATTTTTTATTTTTTTATGTAAAATATTTTCTAAACAAAATTTTGAGATTAATGTTTAGCTGAAGGAAGAGTTGAATCCCACTAAGGAGAAGAAGTTTTTTTTTTTTTTTTTTAATGTATTTTTTCCCTCCAACTAATGGAACAATCTTAATTAACCACTAATGGAACAATCTTAATTAATCATGTAATCCAATCCTAAACTTCACATGACCTTTGAACGGACATGTTGAGTGGGAATTATTTTCATGTTTCTTGTCATAAAATGTCTTTTCAAAGGTGAATTACTTTTTTCACCTTTCCTAAATTTAAATAAATACAAAATTCAAAAAAATAAATTCAAAAATTTTAGTATTTTATATAATTTTCCATGGAGGTCCAGTTACACTTTAATAAGTTCTTATTTGGTGATCTTAGGCTGGGCCTTTAAACCCAAGGCCCAATTTAATAATTTGGGCTTAAAAATTAAAATTTTAAAACTAGAATTGTGGGGCTACCCAATAAAGGGAGCCCTTCCAGAAATTCTCAATGGCCTGGGCCAAGCCCAGGCCAAAGAGGGGGTTTGGAAATAGTTTTCAACCAGCAATTGACGCGCCTCGGTTAGTACCTCACTAGCTGCGTCATTGCCCCAAGCGCAAAGATACTTATTCCAAGGCCCAATCTCTGCTTTTATATTACAACTCTCCTAGCCCACTCTTTACAACTTTCCGATGTGGGATACATAACTAGCATTACCACAATATATGTATATACAGGGCCGGCTGAGATTCCAAATATTTTGAGAGGCCCTAAGCGAACTTTCAGATGTGAGGCCTTTAAGTTTCACACGCGCAAAAAAAAATTATAAGAGTGCAAAATTTTCACACCATGTTTTCAAATTCTATAGCTAATATAATTGTGCGTCTGTGCATAAGACAACTAACTAATAACTATAAATTATCACCACCAACAAATAATTGTGCGCCTGTACAGTGTGCATAAGACAACTAACTAATAACTATAAATCTATTACCACCAATAAATAATTGTGCGCATGTGCAGTGTACTTAAGACAACTAACTAATAACTATAATTTTTTATTACCACCAATAAATAATTATGCGCTTGTGCAGTTTGCATAAGACAACTAACTAATAACTATAAATCTATCATCACCAATAAATAATTGTGCGCATGTGCAGCGTGCATAAGACAGCTAACTAATAACAATAAATCTATCAATTAAAGAGTGCGAAATTTTCACAGGCACAAAATAAAAAATGAAGAGATCAGTTTACTAGAGAACAGAAAACTGCAGCTTCTTTTACATTCATTGTTTATATAGCTACTAAAATTTGATAATTACATATGACAAAAATATGTGGAGATGAGGTGACTATATATATTACAGGAGGATGAACTTGTACTACCGAAGAAGTAGTGGGACTTTTAGGTTATATGTGGCATCCACTATCCTATATAGTTTTGTCTTTCACTCTTTATATTAACTACACTACACTTTGTGTTTGTGTTTTTTTGGGAGCCAATTACCCCTTTCTTGATTTCAGGATGAGGAATCAACTTTAGTAGCAGTGATTGGTTGATCATTGGTACAGAAGACCTGTGCAAATTAATATAAAAACCATTAACTTTTGTTTTGTTAAAGCGTGCTCTTGATTTCCATGTGTTTGTACATTCTGATGGCAAGTGCTTTGACGGTATTATTAACTGAAATTCTAGCTGAGCCAACTTCAAATAACATCAATAATGGTGGTATGTATCTTCTTATAAAAATAAAAATAAAAATAAAAAAACCCTTAATTTGGCACTTTCAAGTATGAGCATAATTTAGAGATTATTACCTCAAAGGCTCAACCCACTAGAAGGGATCCTTCATTTTCGTAGGATTGAATGTGAAAATGCAAAAAATTATGAGGAAAATGGGTATGGTTGCTGCTGTTGTGAGATTGGAGTGGAATTAGGGAGAGAGAAAAAAAAAAAAAAAAAAAAAAAAAAAAAAAAAAAAAAAAAGGTATCTGCCATAGATTATGGACTCGATCGCCATGAAAGACACATGTAGAAAGGCACACATTTATTAAAATACTAAGAGAACCTTAATATGTTCATTCAGCTTTTGATAGCCATCAGACACAGTGACACACACACACACAAAAAAACCCCTAGTTTGGAAGCTACTTTTCACAATTGGAACAAAGGTAAAGGCCCGAATCAAACGAACCAAAGTTAGAACAAATCAAATGATGAGATGAACGAAAGAAAGAAACGTATATAAGAGATCGATTCATGCAAAAGGATAGAGGATGAACATACCTTGTCACCTGAGGCGATAGCGGAGGTGCCCTGCGGAGTGTCGAAGCAGATTGTGTCGTCTGAAACTTGCCCTAACTTTTTTTTTTGGTTTTTTCCGTCCCCTATGGGCCTCAAAATTTGACGCCTCTAAAATTTGAGGCCCAAGGCGACCAAGACTTGTCCTAACTTAAATGTTTTTTTTCCATCCCCAATTTTGAGGCCCAAGATGACCGCCTTTGGTATATACACGCAAGTTCACTTGTTCCATTAATATTCATTCAACATCACCGTGTTCTGATTTAATTCTTGGAGACGATACATGATGTGAATGTGGACTTGAGAGTTTCAGAGTTAGTCACTTTGTATAAAAATATAAGGGGTTTTCAGGAAGAGCAATAAAACACATGGATTTAGACGATAAGTGTGGTTTGCCAGTGATTGCACGTATTCAAAATTTACCATGCATTCATGTGTTTAAAGTCATGATAGTTTGAAGGGCTAAATGCCCGCCAAAAAAAAAAAAAAAACTCCATATAAAAGTTTGTCAAGGGTTTTGGTATAAGTGCGTCCTTTTATGTATAATAATTTAACGGTTATTATCAATTAATATTTTGTTTTCTACAAGATCAGTTGCGACACGGATTCAAAAAATATTCTACTCAATTGTTGAACACTGAGTAGAATATTTTTTGTCTAGTGGCAACTCAACTTCTTCTGTTATGGTCATTAATTTTATAATGTGAGATAAAATTTGTGCAACCATCTCATGACATGTACTAGAAATGATTTAAATTTAAAACTATCTAAACTCTAAACATGTTATAGATGTTTAATCATTAGCTAGCTAAATTTATGGATATGTTATCATCAAAATGTTTGTATTGCCGTTCTTTTAGGTCAACTTCACTTTGTTTCAAGTCTATAACAATCATAATTTAAAAACCATGTACAAGCATTTTTGTTTACTAGGTGTGCACGAAAAACGATTCAACTTAAATTGTAATCAACTCTAAATGATAGGTTGTTTTCAAATTTTTCACTATTTGGTTCGGTTTCGGTTCCCTAAACATCGAATCACTTATAAATGAACGGTTATGATTTAAAGTTCTACGAGGTCAAATTGAACCGTTTTATAAATTGTACACATATTTATATATTTTGTATTATATAAATAAAAACATAATAAGATTAACTTTTTAATTACTCAATTATATATCATGATATATAGTAAAAATTTATATTATAATAGAAAATTATATTACATATTCTATTTTTTTATAATATATATATATATATATATATATATATATATATATATATATATATTAGATTGAATTATAAAAAAAAATCTAGAATCATAGTTTGGTTCGGTTCGATTCCATTGATTTCACAATTCAGTTTGATTTGATTATAATTTTAATAAAATTATTAGGAATGGATTGATTTCAAAATATTTTTAAACCAGCTGAATTCAAACTCTGCACACTCCTATTGTTTAATTTTACATTATAGCCTCCAATGTTAATAATTTCTACACTCACGGGGGATAAGAATGTGCAATATACGTCACCAACATTTAATTAAACATATTTGAAAAATTATAAGAATCAAATATTTTTATTATTATACGTATAATGACAATTACTAGACTAAATTTATACCTATATTTACGGGAATCATAATGTTAAATATACGAAATCAACGATTAATAAAACATATCCATGAAATAATTGAAATTAAAAATATAAAGATCAAATTTTATCATTTACAAAATCAAAAAATATAAAAATTCAACTCTCTATAGGCACATCTATTCTGATAGTTGATTTGTGTAAATGGTGGCTCTTAACAATATGTAAGTTTACACACATGGAAGGATCATTTTTTTTATTTTAATAAGAGTTCATAATTAAAGAAAAATAAAATAAAATTGTGAAAGTAGCAGTGGGACAACTAATATGTAAATTAATCCTTACAATGAAAAGTAGGTATATTACTAATTAGAGTTGATTAATTTTATTATCTGTTCCTAACTTTTCAAAATGATGAGTAATTTTTTATGTTTAAAATTTTTGTTGAATGTGCCATGCGTCATTGACTGTCATAGTTCACTTCTTTATATATATAAAACTTGGTTGTTTGTATCAAAAGACGGAGTAAATTAATATGAGACATTTGGAGTAGTGTGTAGCTTGTGACTCTTTTGCCAAAAAAAAAATTTGAACTTGTGATATATATTTTTCTTCCTTTTTCTTCAGATTTATTGTCATATATGTACACATTGTCTTACATTTGAAATTTATGTAGAGATAGAGATAGAACATTCAATATAGTTCAACCCTACTTTTTTTATTTAATTTTTTTCCCTTTTTTTATTTATTTAATTTTTTTCCCAGTTTAACCCTAGTTTATTCTCTGCGTGAAATGGAATTGGAGGCTTTTTAAAGGGTACTCACTGTAAAGATGGTCCAAAAAAAAAAAAAAAAAAAAACCACCACTCACTCCACCTACCCCCAATTCTTTGTTTGTTTGTAGCTTTAGATTTTGAGCTAATTTTAATATTAATTGCTAATATATTATTAAAACAAAATAGTATTATTTAATTGCTGAATAAATCGCATCTCAATATAAATATACTTTTATATGTGTGGTTGTCTTGTAGACTTGTAGTACTAGAAAACAGAGGTCGTAGAAGCGGAGCCGGAGGACGGCGAGGTTGGAGGCGAGCTCGGATGATAAAAAAATATTCTTTTCATACGAAAAAAAAAAAAAAAAAAAAAACTTTTCACACTCACCAAAAAACTTTTTCTTTTTTATTTGTTATTAAATAAAATTTTATTAAATCACTCCAATTAAAACCCTAAACACAATTTGTGTACATGGAAATAATTCTTAACACAAGCCGCCAGTGGAGAGCAAATCGGAGAGAGGGGGAGGAAAAGCAGCGACCACCTCGCTATTATTACCATTTATAGTCTCTTCAATCACATGTGTATATATATATATATATATATATATTTTTTTTTTTATTTCTATATATGTGATTGATAAAGACATAAACAATAAATATATATATATATGTGCGTGTCAAAGACCAATTAGAATTTTCAGTAAAGGATATAGAAACTTCACGCGTATAGCTGCCGGCTGTGCAGATCCAAATGATGCAAAACTTAATAATGTGGCAGTCGTAAATTGTTAAGAATCAGGCTATGATATTTGGAAGATTAATGCTTTCATGAACAAGCCTCTCGTGTCAACCCAAGCAGGGATGGGTTTGGGACACCAAACTCTTGAGTCAGAGATTTAGGCTTCGTTTGGATACACTGGAGAGAAAAGAAAAAAAATGATTATGAGAGAAAAGAAAAGAAAAGAAAGGGAAGGAAATGTTTATATTCATGTTTGAATAGATAGGAGAGAAAAGAAAAGAATTGATAATATTGTTGTTTGGATAACAAAAAGGAGAGAAAAGAAAAGAATTAATAATAATAAAATTACTATCTTACCCTTTACCCTTTTTGGTAGGGTTAGAACACAAAATCATTTCAGCCTCCTCCATCTATCTATTCCCGATCTCACAGATCCCTCCGTCTCTCTCTCTCTCTCTCCAACTACAAAATCTACAAAAATAGTCAAAAACCCATATCAGCTCTCTCTCTCTCTCTCTTCAACTGCCAACTACAAAATCTACCAAAATTAGTAGATCAAAACCCATCTGCTCTCTCTCTCTCCCTAGCTGCAAACTACAAAATCTACAAAAATAGAAGGTCAAAACCCATATCGGCTGTCTCTCTCTCCAACTGCCAACTACAAAATCTACAAAATCTACCAAAATCAAAAGACGATCTCTGCAACAGACGATCTCTGCAACTTCCAGCGAATTTTTCGGCGTTCTCTGCAACTTCCGGCGAATTTTCAGACGATTTCTGCAACTTCCGGCGACTTTTCCGACGATTTCTGCAACTTCCGGCGAGTTTCCGACAGTCTCTGCAACTTTCGACGAATTTTCCGATGATCTTTGCAACTTCCGGCGACTTTTCCGGATGGGCTCCAAAGGTCATTAGCTCCCTTTCTCTCCAAATCCCTCCAAATCTTGTCAATTTTGGAGGGATTTGGTTTTACTGTTTAGGAGAGATTTGGAGGGATAGGCTATCCCTCCAAATCCTTCCCAATCCTTTCTTTTCTCTCCAAAACCCTCCATCCAAACACACCTATCCCTATCCTTCCCTTTCTTTTCTCTCCAAAACCCTCCAAATCCCTCAATCCAAACGAGGCCTTAGAAGGAAAGAAAAAGATAAAAAATAAAAAAAAAATTGGAAGGAGAAACAAAAATATGGAAGGTTTTTTTAGAAATTTTTAATTCATTAATAATTTTTTAAAATCTTATCAATTACGTTTTTTCAACTCTAATTTTATTTTTATTAATACAAAAAAAAAAAAAAAAGGTTACCTTATTTTATTTTAAATATAAAAAATAAAAAACTTCTTTCTTTTTATTTGTTATTAAATAATTTTTTATTTTTAAATTATGCGGGGGCAATTCTTTGATACCTGTTTGCATTTGGATTTTCTCTTTCTGCAATCTCACACGCACACGCACATATGTATCAATGACCAATTAAGGTTTTCAGTAAATGATGCAGGCACTTTATATATTTAGATACAACATATCAAAAATTCCATTTTTTTCTTTCTTTTCAGCCTCCAAATTTTTGATTTGTTGTATCTGTATATATAAAGTGTCTGCCCGAGCCCAACTCGAATTTTTATGGGTTTTGAAAGATTCCAATCCGATTTAGGCCCAAATTGTGAAAAATTGGGTTGGGCACAGGCTGGTCTGGGTTGGCCCGCTCAAGTTGCACTCCTTTGTGCAGTTCTATTGCATAATCTTATGCATCAAACTAACTTAAACCCTAAGTTTTGATGAATCAAGCACTGAATTTCTTGAATAATGACTGAACATAAAAGATCTGTAGGGGTAAGGTTAACTATTAATTAGCAATCACA